CAGTCCGCGGTGCCCCTCGCCACCGCCAGTCTTCGTCGCGGAGCAGATCAGCTTCGGCAGCCGCCCCATCGCGCCCTGGTCGAGGGCCTTGGTGAACAGGTCCGCGGGGTTCCAGCGCCCTTCAACAATCTTCAGCGACAGCCTCTTGCTCTGGATTCGTTCTTGCAGCCAGAGAAATCGAGCGCCCGGGCGCCGCGCGGCCCCCAGCCCCCGTCGGCCTGCAATTACTCCTGCGGCTGAGCTGTCGCTGAACATGCAAAGCTCCATCTCGTGGTCCGCGTCGACCCCGAGGTCGGTCAGCGTCGCCTGCGCTCCCAAACCGCGGCAGGACCCACGCCGTCGCGCATCGCACTCGGCGTCGCCGCCGCTCGAACTCGACGTGGATTGGGCCGCGCTGCCATGTTTCAACAGATGCGATCCCCATAGTATTGCCATTCCGCTTCGAGAGCGTCTCGCACGTAATCGGGCCACCCGCGTAGTCGCTGTCGCAGCAGACGCATGCCCTCGCCGGCATCCTCTGCGCGGGGAACAACAACCCCCCAGCGGGGTACTTCTTCAAGTGAAGGCCGATGCGCTTCAGGTATTCTATGTTGGTCTCCTCCGGCCCCTTCATATGTCAGGCCTGCGTGCTCGCTCTGTAGCTGATATCAGGTCTGTCCATACTCGAGTGCGTGATCCTCATGGTCACGCTGCGGTAGGTCTTGGTCCTCTCGCCACCCAGCTTCGGCGAGGTCTGCTCGTCGTTCAGAGAGAACATCCGCCGCCGACCTCTCGAGAGCCGGAATGGTGACCTCCTTCGCGCTCTCCAGTCCCAAGTCTCTGATCACCTTCTTCGCGCGCTGGGCGCCCGCCTCGGGGCGCGCCGAATGCTCGCGCGGGTTCCAGACGGACGCCCGGTTGGGGTGCACCACGCTCTGCTCCTTCAGCGGCTTGCTGCTCGCGATGCCCTCGGCCCTGAAATCGTAGCGCGACAGCACATCGTCGAACCACCCCTCCTGGGACTTCCTCATTGCCACGCCGAAGACGTCGCCGTGGACCTCCGCTTGTCTGTGACGCTCGGCATGGTCGAGTCGCGCTGGGTTCGAGATGCCTACCTGGAAACCATGTGAGTTGATCAGGCCACTGTAGTCGTCTTGCCAAACGTGGCTGGCAGCATCCACTGCGCCGCACATAGTCTTGAGTAGCTTGCCCACCATCGGCTCAGGAACGTCGCGGGTCTCCTTCTCGGGTAGCTCCACGCACACCTCGAGGTACACGTCGCCGTAGAAATGCGCCCTCGGAATGTCGAACAACTTGTAAATGTCTCCTCGGTGTCGCCATCGTGGGAGGCGTTGCCCACGCGTCCTACGGAGGTCGTTCTCATTGCCTTGAACGCTTCTAGCGGGGGCATGGCCGAGAACAGCTCAGATTGATCCGGTCGATCTTCTGACCCCATCGCCTTCTTGATCCCCTCGCACCCCGCCTCGAGCGATGTCGCGGTTGAGTCCGATCGCCCTTGTTCTTGTCGATCCACATTAGAATAGCTTCATGCTTGCCTTTCATATGCATCTCCCGTCTGGGCACCGTCTGCCATATCGGCACCACTCCTATTCTTCCTTCCTCGCAGCTTGCACGCCCTCGGAATCGAGAGCGTCGCCCGTGAAATCCTCTATGAAGTAGTCGTCCTGGTTCTCGGCGAACACATGAGTGTCCTCCTCGCGTGGTGGTCCTCCGCAAAGAGCTGCCAGGGTGGTAAGTCCTTCGCGTCGTCGAAGCTCATCTTTCAGGCCTTTGAGAAAAGCTGCCACCAAGCTGGGAGGACACCGTCGTGCGCGTCCAGCGCGCCCATCGACCAAGTGCACATGGCGAGGTAGTCCCCCCTGGCACACCTCTAGGACACTCGCAATAGCCATCGCGGATCTTCGCGAGCAACTCGCCATTGTGAACCACCCAATCTCTTGTCGAACGAAGCCCGGCTTCCCGTAGGGACCGATCGCCTGCATGTGTCCACGGCGCACAGGTCCATGGACTAAGAACACACTTGCCATCTGCATCACCTCCCGAACGCTCGGGCGGCACCAACTATTCGCTGACAAGGGTGCCTCGTGAAGAAATACCCTTCCTGCCTTGTAGCTCTCCTTGCAAACCTCCATGCTCTAAGTTGAGGTGCGCATCGCCCTCCAGGATTTCTGCTCCCGCGATCTTCGGATCGCGCTTCCGGTCCGAGAACTTACTCAGGTTGGTGACTGGTGTGCACGGCGGGCTAGCGATCGCGAGCAGCGGCTCTTCCATTCTCGGCTGTTCCTTGCACTCAATGCGTTGCTCAGGCAGTCGTAGATCCCAGCCGGTCTCGATGTCCACCGCCAGGCCGGACGTGGGACCGCACCTTAGCGTCATCTCAACGAACCTCCTCGGCGAGTAGATCTCCGCGATGCTCAGTAAGTAGCGACGCGAGGTCCGAAGACGCGAAGATCATTGATGCTGTTAAGTTGTTGAAGAATTTGGGCGTTTGCTTCTTCTCGGCATTCCGACGGCTCAAGACGGCCCAAGACGCCCCCAAAATCGCCCAAAAGGCCTCCAAGAGGGCCCATTGACGCAAGAGGCCCTCAAGACGGCCCCAAGAGGGCCCCAAGACGGCCCCAAAACGGGCCAAGAGGCCTCCAAGGCGCCCAAGATGGCCTCCAAGACGGCCCCGAAGCGCCCCAAGAGGGCCCCACGTCGGTTCAGAGAGACCCCCAAGACGGCCCCCGACGGCGTCAGACGGGCCAGGAACGCCCTAAGACGGCCAAAGAGGCCCCCGAAAAGCCCCGAAAGAGCCCCAAGAGGCCACCAAGAGGCCCCAAGAGAGCCCAAGATAGCCCCAACATGGCCTCCAAGACGGTTCCAAACTGGCCCAATCGATTCCAAGAGTGCCTCAAGGGACCCCGAAGAGGCATCCTCCCCCTTCTCCTCCTTTTCCTCCTCTTCCGCTTCATCCCCCACGTGTTCCCCGAAGGGTTTCCAAACCCACTCGGGGAACACATGGTCCGGTAGCTTCGCCCCCCAAGATGCCTCCGAGACGGCCCAAGATGCCTCCAAGGCAGCCTAACATGGCGCCAATATTGCCCAAGACGGCCCAAGAGGCCCCCAAGAGGCCTCCAAGACGGCCCAAGAGGCCTCCAAGATGTCCTCCAGGAGGGCCCGAAGAGACCAAAATCATTAATTTTCCCTAAGTGTTTGAAGGATGTTGGCATGTGTTTCTCCTCGCCATTCCGACGGCCCAAGACGGCCCAAGAGGTCTCTTCCTCGTCCTCTTCATGTTCATTCTCCCCCACGTGTTCCCCGAAAACTTTCCAAACCGTCTCGGGAAACACGTGGTCCGACAGCTTGGCCAAGCTCTAGCCCAACTCTCGGCCACACAAGCGTTTCCAATAAGGCAGGGGGCGGCGGTGACTCGCCGTAGGCTTCTTCGATACCCAAGAGGCTTCCAAGAGGTCTCCCAACAGAGCTCGAAGAGGCCAACAACCATCAATTTCCCGTAACTGTTGAACAATTTTGGCGTTTCCGCCTGTTCCGTCCCGACGCGGCAAACGGCCCCAAGAGGCTCCGAGGATCGCCCCAAAACGGCCCAATAGGCTCGCCCCAAGACGGCTCAATAGGCTTTAAAAGAACCGAAGAGACGTCCAAGACGGCCCGAAGAGGGCTCCAACTTCTCCCCAGGATCGGGAACGTGAACCGAGAACTCGAAATCTTCGCCCCAGGAAACCTCCAGGAGGCGTCAAGGGGTCCCCAAGAAGCCCCAAAGAAACCCAAAAGCGCCCCGAGAGTGGCCCCGAGGGTACTTGAGAAAAACGGAAGTTACAACACTATTTGTTTAAAGGTCGCCCGGCAGCTCCGCTACGCTTGCAAGAAAGGAAATATCAGATTTCCTCTTCCTATTCCTCCCCCTCTTCCTCCTCTGGTTACATACTCTTCCTCTGCGGCCTCCTCCACCCTCTCCAACTCCTCTTCATCCTGCTTCTCCTTCTCCCCCACGGAACCCCTTCACCTCCCCTTCTTCTCAGTCTTCCTCCGGCTACGTCCAGCCGCGGCGAATAAAAAATGAGACCGTGATGTATTTTCCATCGCCACATCAAACACGAGTTGCTTTTGCAGGCTTTGGCGAGATCATGCAAAGCGGCAGGCGAGCTCAAGCCTGGACTTTAAACTCGGGAGGGAACGGGAAGGAGACATGACCAAAAAGGCTACACTACAGAGAAGTGTACAGAGCGATTCGCATTCGGACTCAACTGTGAGCAAGCTCTGGAGATGAGACCGTGATGTATTTTCCATCGCCACATCAAACACGAATTGCTTTTGCAGGCATGTGCGAGATCATGCGAAGCGGCAGGCGAGCTCAAGCCTGGACTTTAAACTCCACAACCCCAGAAACCAGCGCAACCACGACAGGCGGAATGAGACACTACGTGTATCACAGAGCCGGGGCCACGAGATGTGCGAGGAGCTCACGTAAATCGATTGGGTATGGTTGCGCCATGGCCGTGCGCCAAACACCTTGGGCGTCTTTGCCCTCAAGGATGGTGCGAGAGCAGCCTGAGCGCGAGCACGCGCTCCAAGAGTGCCGACGCCGCGGCAGAGCGACCGGTGGCCAGTTGACAAAGAGGATCTTTGTTGCCTTTTTCCAGGGAGTCCCGAACTGGCAAAAATCAGTCACCTGCATGTTAGCGTTAGGCAACTGCATTAGCATGTTGATCTCACTCGTGAGCCAGACACGACTAGTAGCTGGATTCTCGAGAGCACAGGGGCAGCCACGAGCTGCCGCAAGCTTAAAAAGTCTGACAATCTGTCTCAGCAGCAAATTATGCAATTGTACCTTCTCGTTCTCTTTGGGCGAGAGATCGGGCAGACCGTACAAGTATTTCGCATCATCTCTGAGCGGGCCAGGCCCTCTCCCGTCCCAGCGCCTGGCTCCCGACCATGTCTGGCAAGGCAAACCGAACCAGAGGAAACAAATAAGGCCATCCACAATCTCTTTCCCTAACTTCTCAAGGGCGCCGTGCTTCAGAAAATCAGCCGCCTCGCCTTGCTCGATGTCCCAGGCCTCTGCAGGGATGCCGGAGCTGGCGAGAGCCTGCGTGAGCCGCCCGCAGCCGGAGAAGACCTCGACGGCGCGGCGCCCTAGGACGAGACGGCGACCTGTGGGGACAAAGAGGTGCGGAACGCGGCCTGCAACCTGTCTAAAGCCAGGGCGCCCTTCTTGTTCGCGTCGTCCGAGACCTGCGCCTGCTGCTGCAGCAGGCGCCCGTGCGCCTCGTACCTCCTTACTGTGCGGCCCGACAGCCAGCGGCCCCTTGCCTTGACGGTCGGGAGCGACCTCCTCTTGAACAGGATGTCGTGGCTGGGGCCGGAGTGCCTCATGTGGTGGGGGGTGATCTTGAGCTTTTCCAGCCTGACCGCCTTGGCCGCCTTGGCAAGCGCCGGACCGAGGAGGGCACGCTTGAAGCCGAAGAGCAGCCTGTCCGACTGTCCCCGTCGAAGCCCGGCAAGCAGATCCCCCAGCCATGGGAGATCGATTGAGTCCAGCACGAGGCTCTCCTCGAAGGTTCACCTTGGGGGGGTGTTGATCCATCTCCTCGTGCGCGCGCAGGCTCCAGGGAACAGCAGACGTGGTGCGAGGCGGCGACACAAGGGACTTCTCCTTGAGCCCCATCGCCTCCCCGGGCCGCAGGTAGGCCACCCACATCGTGACCAGCGCGAGCGCCATGAGCGGATTCCCCATGTTGATCACCTCGAGCCACAGGAGTGCCAGCAGGTGCAGCGGCACTGGGGGCCGAGTCCTGCCAGGCTCCAGCCTGGCCCAGCCCTTGAGCGCCTTGCGCGCCCGTGGGAGCACGCGCGTCCCCGCCTTCGAGTAGTCGGGGTGGAAGTACGTGCATGAAGGCCGCCAGCAGCTTCGCCCCCTCTGAGACGTCGTGCCCGTTCTTCCATAGGAGGTTGACGTAGTCGGTGAGCACGAGGTCCGGCTCCTTCTCGAGCTTGTCGGCCAGCTGCTTGGTGGCGACCCACTCTTGGAAAGCGGTGCGCCGCTGCCCGTTGTCCTTGTAGGTCTTCACACTGACCGAGCTGGACTCGAGGAGGGTGTCCTGACCCGCCAAGGCCTTGGGCCCGGAGGCGCCCGCCACCGAAGCGCGGGAGACTGCCCGGGCCCTCCTCGCGGCGTCCCCAGAGGCGAGCATCGTCCTCTTCGTCCAGCTCCAGCCAGTCTGCGAGCGAGACGGAGGCCCCTGCGCCGGGCGGAGCGTCCGCTGCACAGGCTGCCCGCCGGCGCGGCCCCCACAGACGGGAGCCCTCGTCGGCATGGTTGGACTCTGATGGTATCCAGCGATAAACGTACCGCGACCCTGAAGCCACTGAAAAGGCAGCGGACTTCCTACAAGACTTGTTGAGAGAGAACGATGACGACCTCCCTTCTTCCATGGCCAGTAACGTTCCTAGGTTGTCCCCCAAGAGTAGGCGACGCATTCTGAACCCACAGAGGCCCCTTGTAGCATGCCGAATGCCGGAAGCCATACCGACCCCCTCCAAGACCGAGATAGGCCCATCACGCCCCCGAAACCTCGACGCATACTGAAGCTTCCAGTCCCCCTTCTCAAGATACTTCGGATTGATCTCGGCGAAATCGGGACTCGGTTCGTACGGCGAGATGGTTTTCGGCTCGATCATGGTCTTTAAGGTATTGATGTCGGTGAACGGGTCGGCAAAAGCAGGCAGGGCAGCATCCCGAGGTGCCGTCGCAGACGGCAGCGTACTCCGATATCTCCACTTTTCCCGGACGGCCCCATAGCTCTTGATGACCCCCTGAGGCCAGCGAGTAGCAGCGACAGCATATCCAGACAAGCAGGCATCGGTAGCGATGACCCTCTCAGACCACTCCAGACGGAGATCAGACATGGTCACCTGGATGAGGTACGACACCGGACGAGCCTCACGAGCGGCCTCGCCGCACAGACGTCCTGGAGCGGACCCCATCCTCGAAGCGAAGTCGTACATGCGCCTAAAGACCGAGAGCCCAGGACGAAATATGAGGAAGGCGACGATGCAATGACCAATGAAACGGCTCAGTCCCAAACCTGCGATCCGCGGCCTTCGCGACAATGCACAGGCAGCGGTAGCAATCCTCTCCCTACGCATCGGCTCGACCCAAACCTTCATGGCCCCCCCGTCGATGTGATGCCCCAGGGCAGTAAACTGTCTAACTGGACCAAATACCTCGTGGACAAGAAAACCAGAACCTCTGAGCTGAGCACTGACGGCGTCTCGAGCTGCCGTCGCGCTCTCTGGGGTCGCCGCTAGAAACATCAAATTATCACGATGCACATTCAGAACAGGTAAGTCAGAGCGCCACTCGGGAACGGGGGCACCCTCCTCCATGAGCCTCGACGGGGCCCAGGGCAGAGCGAAACAGATCTGATGAAGATGCACGTGCTGAGCGAGCCACATCGCCCAAGTCCATCCCATTGGCGCAAAGCGAAGACGAGGCCTGAATTCCAAGAGACCATGCAAGTCTCCACCGAGGCGAGCGGGCACGCCCCACTCTAGGAGCAATGCGCCAGGCACAGGAGGCAGGGCAAAGTGTGGCCGCATATCAGGCGGCATGGCAAGCCAGAAGAAGCAGTCCGCGATGTCGGAGCCAGCACCCCACATGCCCTGCTCCTGCAGCCCCGGCGGGATCTGCAAACTGCCGAAAGCGGAACCGCTGGCCATGCGGATCTTGGGCGGGCCGCGCCAGCGGACGTTGGCCACGCGGCAGTCCCGCGCCAGCCGCTGCTTACCAGACTTCTTGCGCACGAAGAACGGGTTGACGGTCTCGAAAGCCTCCTTCCCAAAATCCACGAGGTTGGACTCGAACAGGTCGCGGACGAACTGATAGTGCAGCGACCTGTCCCTCTTGAGCCTTAAGTCCATGTAGGGCTTGATGAATGCCTGCTGGTCCATGATGGCCCCCATCTCGACGGGCGAGCGGAGCATCGCGGTGGTGAAGCCGTCGACTACGCCTCTGCCAGAAGGATCGATGACGTTGGTCAGCAAAGGAGGCGAGGCCCCCGCAGCTGGCATCGATACCTGGCCTCGATCATACAGCTCCACGCTGCGACTGGAATCCCCCCCAGCATAGGAAAACTCCGATCCGCAAAGCGCCTTGAGGGCTTCGCGGTCTTTGTACAATGACGTGCAAGTCGGCCTCGCCGCCAGGGTAGACAAAACTTGGCCATGTGCAGCCCGATGAGCAGCCGTAGGCCGGAGGGTAGATATGGCGGCTGGGGAGGGCAAATCGTTGAGCGTGTCAATCACACCGTTGGCCAGAAGCTGCCTAGATCGCCTCCTCGACAACGCTTGAAGACGGTAGCAGACAAGCTGGGATCAGGGCGCTCATCGACCTCGACAGCAGGAAGTGGAAAGAGGTCACGCTGGCGACTAGCATCCACATGCCGATCAAAATCTGCCGAAGTCGGGTCCTCTGGCACCGAACCGCGGGTGGACCAGGCCCGCGCGCCAGGAGGCATTGGCGTCATTCGCCCCCCTCCCCGTCGGCCGGGGCGAGCCCTCCTCTGCCTCCTTTACCCTTGCCCTTCTTGGGCTGCCCCGTGCGTCTCTCCTCGGCTGCTTTGCGCGACTCCTTGAGGATGGCGGCCTCGTCCCGGAACTTGGTGGCAACGTGTGCCGCCAACTTGGGCGCCACCGAAGCGGAGGCAGTGACGGGCCCCCACCCCATGAAGTGATCAGCTCCCGAGAAGTCGGGCGCGGACGCGGACTGTGAGTAGGCGGACTTGACAAGCTGCAGCCTCCTGACAACCATCTCCATGCTGTTGAGGGCTGGCACGTTCAGCTGGTCGTGACACACGGCGGCTGACAGCACCTGCGCCAAAACGAAGTGCTCGTGACTGGCCCGATCGCCATCATGCAGCTTGGCCTTACGCAGCCAAGCCTCGTGAACGGCCTGGGGCGTCGGACCATTCTCGGCGATGTAGCGGCAGAACCAGGCGGCAGTCCGCGGACCCTGTAGGTCCAGACCGCCCGCGGGCAGAGTGTCATCTTGCCGCTGTACCCCTTCTCTGAGGGCAACGCGGCGAGCACCGCTGGAGTCGAACTGCACGGGCAACACGCGCAGGTCATCGTAGGTGAAGCGGTAGATCTCCGGGCGCGTGAGCTGTCGCAAGCTCACGAAACCCCCCTTCCAGGGCATGATCGCCCGATCGCCCACCGCCACCGTGTCCGCGGTGATGTCGATCTCGGTGCCCTTCGTCAGATCCTCGGCGTCCTCGGCGGCGACCCAGACAAGATCCGCACGTGGGGCCGGAGCCGCCGCACCAGCCGCCTGGACTCCCTGGCCTGGCGGCCTGGGGTCGGGCGGCCCCTGAGGCGGCGGCGGCAGTGCACGGGGGACAATGGCGCCCCCTCCCACACGGTGAATGCGGAGCCCATCCGCAGGCGCCGGGAGCCCCAGCGCGAGGGCCACATCGATCAGGTGCTGCCTCAGCTCCTCAGCGGCGGGCGCCCCCCGGAAGCGGTAGATCTGGTCTCCGCCGAATCCGGGAGGCGTATCCCCGAGCCCAGCCGTACCGCGGATCATCTCGACATCGGCGGAGGCGGGCGAGCAATCCTCGATGTAAGCATCATCATCTGGAGTCGAAAGGTAGTAGTGCCCCGCATCAGTAGGATGGACCGCGAGCACGATCCTCTCATGCCAGAGCGCGAGCCCAGGCACATCGTACTTTACGAGGAGAACGTCACCGACTCTCGCCACGACGGCGGGCCTGGATGACCGCGAGCTGCTGCTGCGCGAGCGTCTGCACGGTCACTTCCTGCTGCTGGCCAACGGCCGAGGGCGCCTGTGGCGTCGCCGGCGCAAGCGTCCTCCTCCTGCCGAGCAGCGTCGGCACCGCAAGGAGCGCACCACAGACCCAACTCGCGAGGAACAGCGCAACCCCGGCGAGGCCGTACGCCAGGTACCCGACGACCCCCGGGTCGTCCGAGATACACTGCACTTGCACTGGAGGGATCTTGACCTCTGGGCAATGCAGCTCCACCTACGCCGCTGGCGGCGCCGGGCAAAAGAGATCGACCACCGTGTCGTGCCGCGCACACACCGCGGCTGATATCGCAGACTGCACTGAGAGATCGAGAAGCCTGGGCAGGTAAGTAAGAACGCTCTCCCACATGCAGGGAGAAAAAGACAGAACCAAAAAGGCTACACTACAGAGAAGTGTACAGAGCGATTCGCATTCGGACTCAACTGTGAGCAAGCTCTGGAGAGGCCCCCGAAGTGCCTTTTGGAACTGTTTTAAGCCGTCGTGGGTGGGCCGTAGGAAGTCTTGGAAGCCACTTGGGCCGTCTTCGTGGTTCTTGGAAGCCCCGGAGAAGAAGTGTCATGGAATAGAGATCCCCAAAGTTCGACCATCCTGCCTAGCTAGAACTTGAGCGCGCAAGGCATGTGAGACAATTGGCTATTCCCCTTTTCTGTTTCCCCTCCCCAGAGTTTCAACATCTTGTTGAACTTTCGGTTGAGATGGGAGGGCGGGGCCGGCGGGGCCGGGGTGGGGGTCTTAGGGAAAACACGAACTCGCAGGCACCTAACATGACTACCTACAGGACCACCCCAACCCAACTCGAAGACCCGAATTTTACCAGAATTTCGGGTTGGGGGGGTACGGGTCCCATGTGTTTTCTCAATGTTCCCCGACCCTCCCCACACTGGGAATGGAGGGCACATTGGGGTCTTCGGGTTGGGCTGGGGTGGTTCGCTGGGTGGTGATAACATGCACTACACACACTGAACTCGCACGCAGCTGAACTGACACGCACTGGACTCGCACCAACTGAACTGGAACGCGCTGAACTTGCACGCGCCGAACTCGCACGCGAGATACGACCCTTACAAGGCATGCTGCCATCTTTGGGCGCCCGAGTTATCCGGGGTAACTCGGGTCCGGGGTAACTCTGGAGTGGATTCCCGAAAAAGGAACCCGAGTTACCCCTGACCCGAGTTACCCCTGATGATTCGGGGCTCTGGACGCCCGAGTTATCCTGGGTGACTCGGGTCCGGGGCAACGCGGGTTTGGATTCCCGAAAAAGGAACCCGAGTTACCCCTGACCCGAGTTACCCCGGATGATTCGGGGCTCTGCCATCTGGTCTGCGAGTTCCGTCCGTGGAGAGAGCGCGCTTCACGGCGCGTTTTTCGAACCAGGGGGTGGGCCCCCCCTCGCTCCCCCAGCACTTGGCGCCGTCGATCCGAATCGGGGGGATTCCCTCTCCCCTAACCCCCCCTCCCTCCCTCCCTCCCTCCCTCCCTCCCTCCCTCCCTCTCCCCTAACCCTCCCTCCCTCCCTCCCTCCCTCCCTCCCTCCCCTCTCCCGAGCCACCCCTCCCTCCCTCCCCAAGGGGGGGGGTCCAAACCCCTCCCCCCCCGGCGCCAGCGCTGGCGCTGGCGGCCGCCGCAGCGCCAACGCAGCGACGATGACCAGAGAGGGCCCAGGAGAGGGGGGGGGGCAAGCTAGGTGCGCTCGCGTCATATCTGACATCCTTCCCCTCCCTCCCATCCCTTTACCATGGCGTAGATCCCCTCTCTACTCGCACAGTCGGATGTCGAGCAGGGCAATGATCCCGAAAGGGTACGCGATGCATTGTAGAGCACGGCATGGCATGGCGGAGAAGAGCATCGCAAAGCGTAGTCTGTCACAGCATGGCGTGGCGTGGCGTAGTGAAGAATTGCATCACAAAGCTTTGCAACGCAAAGCATGACATCGCACAGCGGCCCCGAACATAACATTGCATAGTATGGCGTTGAAGATCAAAGCGTAGCATCGCATAGCACGACGTGGCACTGAAGCACTGCATATCACAGCTTCAGCTGAAGGCATGGCATCGCGCAGCGGAACGCAACCTAGCATTGCATTGCATGCCGTGGCATGGCACGGGAAATGACGCCAACACTGCAGCGGGAGCACGATTCGGAACGAGCGGAAGCGCGGAAATGAGGCCAGCGCTGCAGCGGGAGCACGATTCGGAACGAGCGGAAGCACGGAAATGAGGCCAGCGCTGCAGCGGGAGCACGATTCGGAACGAGCGGGGCCCGAAAATGAGGCCGGCGCTTCAGCGAGAGCAGCAATTTGGAAAAAAAATGCAAGCGAAAACCCAACTCCGGGTAATCCTGTGCAAAAAACAATACGCGGGGGGGGGGGGGAGGGCGAACACTCCCAAGCCGTCATCAGGGGAAGGAGGAGAGTACTATTCATATTGAGTAATTGTGAAGGGTTCCAAACCCCCCCCCAAACCCCCCCAACCCCCCCCTCTCCCCCCGCCGCCGGCGCTGGCGCGGGCGGCCGCCGCAGCCCACCACCACCACCATCACCACCACCACCACAAACCACCACACCACCACCACCGCCACCACCACGACCATCACCATCACCACCTCAACCCACCACCACCACCACCAAACCACCACACAACCACCACCACCACCACAGCCACCCTCACAACCACCACCACCACAACAGCTCACCACCACCACCACCACCACAACAGCTCACCACCACCACCACCACTACCACCACCACCACCACCAATACAACAACCGACCACCACTACCACCACCATCACCACAATCTACCGCACCACCAACACCACCGCCACAACCACCACCACTACTACCAGCAGCACAACCCACCACAACCACCATCACAACCACTACAAACCACCTCACCACCACCACCACCACCGCCACTACCACCACCACCAGCACCCCCCCCGCCGCCGCAAGCCGCCGCCGACGCCGGCGCCGGCCCTAGGAGAGGGAGAGAGGAGAAGTAGGGGAGGGGGGGGGGGTTCGAACCCCCCCTCCCCCCTCCGTCACGGGAGGGGAGGGGGGGGTCAAACCCCCCCTCCTCCAAGCGACCACAGAACGCGCTCTTTCAGTCCGTGCGGGTTCAGTTCCGTGCGAATTTAGCTGCGTGAGAATTCAAGCCCATGCGAGTTTGTGTCCGTGCGAGATTGTGTCCGTACGAGTTCAGTGCGTGCGGGTCTGGCGTCATGTCCGTCGGGAAGCTCTCAAGCTCCTGCGCTCGGATCGGGATGCTCTCGGGATGTTTTGCGGGTTCTCGGATCGTGCCTACAAGGTCGCTCGCAGATCGGGTCGCAGCTGGAATGTTCGGCTTTGGTACTGTCTGGGCCTTCCCGATGGCATGCTTAACTTTTTAACACTCTACGCGCCGGGTACGGGTCCGCCAGCCCGACCCGCCCAACCCGCCCGTCAGGGTCCGCCTGCCCAATCTGTCCGTCAAAGTCCACTCGCCCGACCTGCGCGCCCGACCCGCCCACCCGACTCGTCCATCCCGGCCAATCGAGGTCTGCCCGCCCGACCCGTCCGTTACGGTTCTCGTCGCCATCGTCGCCCTCATCGTCGTCGTCATGGCCGCCCTCGTCGTCGTCGTCGTCGTCGTCGTCGTCGTTCGGATTTGCAGGACTGGGTATTTGCAGCTGGGTCGTTCGCATTCTCGTCTCCGCCTCGATGCGCGCTAGTCATACTCACTGTTCTTCGCGGCGAAGTGCAAGGCCGTGGCAGTTGGGGCGAAGAATGGTGATAAATGCCACCCCTGGCCCATAGCGATGTGTGGGGAGAGTGTTGGTTCATGGACAATGGGCTTGGAGGGATCGGCTTGATATGAATCGCTGACTAAACAATTGGAAGCTAAAACGCACTTGCCACGTGCTGGGTGGCGCGAAGTCGGCGAGCAACATCGTAAAGTAAAAGGTTCCTGACAGCGATGTCAACATGGGAGCCAAATCAAACGAGCATCCATTCTGGCAGCCGCAAAGGCAAAAACAAAGCAAAAACTCGTGCGTGGCGCGGTGGAGTGCTCCCATACCGTCACGCATAGAAGGCATGGTGATGTACGCCCCCCGGGCACCTCGCTCCACCCGGGCACCTCGCTCCACCCGAGCGGTCCAACCGTGTGCGATGCCTGCAAGATCAAACAATTTCACCGCAGGCAACGGCTATGATCGCATCTAGAAAGCGCGCGTGCTGGGTCACCGATTCGCTTCGGGGCCGCACTTTGTGTTCTGTCGAAGGTGTCCTGCTTGCCTAGTCCATCGGGAGTCCTAAAACAGTACTATAACAAACCGTGCAAGCGCCTCGGAATCCTCAGCGACCTCGCCACACGGTCTGCCACCACACGGTCTTGGGACACCGGAGGCCTCAAATCGCCCAAGACATCCTCGGAGAACGACCTGTGGGACGCAGAAAGACATACTGGTATGATATGTTCTCCGGGGGGGGTGCGCGTCTGACCCAAACATATAGCATACGCATCTTGTAGTACATCGTTTCCCGAGCGGCGTGGCCAGAAAGCGCCCGCCACGACGCATATACTACAAAATTCCTCGGTGCGCGCATGGCCCCTGGGGGGGCGGCGCACATATAGTATAACTATGTTGGGGTGGCGCCGAACCCAAGCCCCAAAACCGTGCGGTCACCCCTCACAGCAGCCGCGTCATGGGTAGGGGGCGGGGGGAAGGCTTCTTAGAAGGAGGCTGCTTCTGAAAGGCGCCGGCCTTACATCTACAGACAG